ATCCTTCTCTGGCATTCGTCTGTAAAGTAGGCGAGGATTTTGTAGATGATGCTCAGAATCAGCTCCCTTTGGGAAATCCTGGCTGTTTGCAAGGCAGGTCCCACGATTAGATAAAAAAAGAACTAAAATAAAAAGATAAAACACTGACAGGTGGTCCTGTTTACAGGTAATCCTCGTCCAAACCAAAACAGCAGCAGTGACCTTACAGTGTCGAGATTTATTTTATTTTTTAACAGCAATAATAATTATAAAAAAAAAAAATCCAGCTTGCACAACTTGCCGTGCAAATGTGAACTCGTTGGGTAAATCTTTTTTTTTTTTATTCACATCCCCAAATGTTCCGCCGGTGTAGAAAACGTGTAAACAATCCAGACACCCTTCGGCCCAGCGATGTAGTCCGTCTGCCACCACCCCTCGCTTCGATTACGAGTTGGCCTCGGTGCCTAAATGATCTTTAAAGATGCTGGAAATTCCTGCAGTCCCATTCGGTATTCCCTTTTTTTCCCCCAAGAAATGCCTGCCTGTGGCTGCGGGGTCGACTCTCCCTCGATCATGAGAATCGCTCAGTAGCGAGTATAGCGCGTTAACAAGTTAGCAAAAAGCAACTGCGGCTAAATGTTGAGATTTAAAAACAAAAAGAAAACAAAAGCGGCTTAAGGTGATCATATTCATATACAAATGAAATGAAATGCGGTTGTTTTCCTGAAATCATTTCTCATGGTAGTAAGAAGTAATCTCGACTGCTAACATCAAGCACAACAGATGAGCCCTTTCAGCAAAAAGAAAAAAAAACTTTGCTTCGTGTGAGCTCTTGCTCCAAACTAAGCAAACTCCTGTTCACTGTGAGACGAGCGAGCCGCGACGGAAAATATGTAACAACACCTCTCCTGAGTCCCGAGTAGCTCGTCTCGGTGCTGCAAAGTCTCCCAGGAGCAAAGAGAAAACCCAGCAGAGTCGGTTAGCACCGCGCTACGTCGCTTCTTGACTCCATGTTTCCAGAATTCAGCTTGTTTCTCGGCAGAATCCCCCCTCCTCCTCCCTCCGTGGATGAGAACGGGTTAGCTTCGCGACCAGCTAACGGGACACTAACAGTCGCTCCTCTGTGAAATTAAAAAGCCACACAAAGCTTCCGAAGGGGACTAAAAGTTTGGGTAAACGTGAAAAAAGGCGCTGTTTTCCGATGATAGACGGAGCTTGTGAAAGAGCATAACTTGAGGAAAGATAGAGAGAGAAGAAATCCCACTTTCCGCCGCTAGCAACGCCCTAGCCTGCTACCAGTTGGAGTCCAGTAGCGCTTCCACTGACCACTTCCGGCTGGAGAATATGGGAAAATATTACGACGTTACAAACCATCGCCATAAGATTGCCTAAGCGACTACTATTGGTGCGGCTATGAGTAATAACAATGTAATATCAGTTTCCATATTATATAAATCATTCCTCCTAAAGGCCTTAAGGCATTGATAAAAGGCAGGCTGAATATATGTGTAACTGTTCTCCAAAAAGAAGGGTTTTAATACTACAATTCAGTGACGTAGATTTTAAAAAACAGGCTTCATAAAAATAATTATTTTATGCATTTATTTTTTGCATGCTTTTGTACGGAAGATGATTAGGGCCACTGAATAAAGTTAAAAGTTAACTGATTTTTACATTTCATTTCAGTATGAGAGAAAAAAGTCACAATTCTGACTTAAATCTCCGAATTCTGACTTTAATCTCAGAATTCTGACTTTAATATTAGAATTATGACTGAATTCTGACAGCTAACAAACATGTTAGCATCAAGCCGTAGCTATGTCTGTTTTAAAAACTAAACTAGCTCTCTTGTTTTAATCACTTTCTGCTCTTCCATTAATGAAATAGCATCACTGGGAACCCCCCAGGCACATAAAAAGTCGCCTAATTCCATAATTTTCCACCAATGTGTTACTGGCCCTCCCAAACAACTCACATCTTTGTCGGTGAAGCTGAGTGCTCCCACATCTCTTCTTTCATGGTGCCCATCTACATTAAGATCCAAAATTCTGAGATTAAAGTCAGAATTCTGAGATAAAAGTCAGGATTCTGACTTTTTTCTCATATTAAACTGAATTTTTTTTTTTTTGGCCCTAATCCTCTTCCGTACTTTTGACATGATAAAGGAATCTATATTTAAATGTGTCCATGTTGTTGTTTTTTTTTAGTTTTGTTGGAAAAAGTTAATCTTTTAGAGCAAGCATTTGATTTAGTATACTGTTATTAGCATTTTAAATTCCTGTAAACTTATGGAAAAATAAAGGATGTTTTGAAAAATGCAACTTTTTTTTTCTCATGAAAATGAAGAGGGAAAAAAAAGATCTGGTCTGATTTACTATATAAAATCTGAGATTTTATTTTTAGCCATATCGCTAAAAAAAATAAAATAAAGTTTATTGTTTTATTTTCACAAATATATTATATTAAGTAGCCTACAAGCTTGTTCCTTTTTTTTTTATTAATTTTAATATAAACAAGCTGAGTAAAATTATCTTAATAATTACAATTTAATTAGATGAATAAAGCATATTTTAAAAACTGGTTGTAGTTGAACTAATTTATAAATCTATCTCTAAACAGTCAAGTTTACATTTCTATTCAGAAATAAAGATTGATATCTACCAAGAATAACATTTAAATGTAAAAAATGTTCACAAAAGTTTATATTTTTCCCATCCTAACAGTTAAGTTAGTACAATAATAAAAAAAAAATGTACTTTTTCTTTACTCCTATCAAACTGATCACATTTAAAACATTAAAATGGCATGCAGATAATTTAAAATAGAAATAAACATGAGTTTCAGTATTATGCTTGAAAAATATTCAAACTGAATATATGTAAACAGTTATTCAGCATACACTGGTTTTATGCTTAAAGAAAATGGCAACTTTAGTGCTTATAATACTTTTAGAAAATAAACTAGACTTGACAATTAGTGTCTGCAAAACATCTGGAACAAGAGAGTATTATATAGCTCTACCACTTCTCCTTTGAGGGGGTCAACCTCACTCAAATTTAAAGCAATAATGCGAAGCTCAAAGATGACAGGGAAGACTCCAATTGATCTTAAGGTTTAGTTCAGCATCCAAGTCAAAACACTGTAAAAAACAATTGTTAAATGAATTTTACAAGAGCAACAAAAAACAACTTTTTCTGTGCTTGTGCACGTCAATAGGATATGCCTACGTTTTCTCTAAATATTCAAATTCTTAACAAAATCCAATTGTCTTCCCTCATGTTACTCAGACGCATGACCTCATCTACTTACCTGACCAAATGGACTTAACTCAGGTAGCGGTTAGACCATTCATTAAGAGTGACAGTAGTAAACCCAGTTGAAAAGCCCAAAGATCATCATCTATTATGACAAAAAAGATGTGATGCAGTATGACTGTATTTGTCCCGTAAACAGTAATCAAGCCTGCAGCAGATGCGTGTAAATGTCACTTTTTCAATGCTTGCTGAATAAGGGCAATTATAATCAATTAAGATTAATTCAGCAACATTAAATCATACAGAGTAGGATTTTTGGTGTATTCTGGTGTATTCAAGAAAATATAATCCAAATGCAGAATGCTTTTTGAAAAATATATCAGTATGCTTAATGAAAATTATAATTTTTATAAATATTTAAAACCAGTTATTGTGATGGTTTTCTGTTTTTTCTTTTCAAGGTTACTTGAAAGCAGCAAACAGATATCAAAAATATATATTGTAACAATTCAAAATAGACATAACAGGAAATATTGTGCAGTTATAAAAAAATATTAGTGAAGAAAAAATCTTTTAGAGGATCTACAAGAACACTCACCAATATTTTTTTCCATGTGTGCTCATGAGAAAAATCTGTATTTAAAACTAGAAATTCAGAATTTTTGGCCCATCCTTGACTAGAAAAACACAGAGGTAAGGCTTAGAAGTAATGTAAAGGTAAAAAGGGATTGTGCCTAAATCTTTTACTTGTTGAGTGCATCTCGATACGCTGCATTTTCGTAGATAATGTTAAAAAAGGGATTAAATTAAGCCAATTTCAGCTGGAATTTCAGCTTTTTTACTACATGCATAAAAAAAAAAATTTTAAATTTTTGAAAGACTGTCCTGAATGGAAAAAAAAAAAAAAATCAACGTCCCAGTTTGTATTTGTGCCCTCAAGAGGATCAGAGTAAGTGAAACGTAAATGGAATGGCACCATCATGTGGACACTTGTTGTAACTTCAGTCCATATTAACATATCAGATGCTGGTTCACTTGCAATTGATTTTCCTTAATAGACATTTTTTTTTATTCTAAATAAGGAATAAAAAGATATAATAGGATCTGTCAACAATGTTCTCATTGTACAGTCTATTGTCGGAGCGTTTAGACTACAGCACAAGAGTAAAACAAAAACAAAGGGCAGTGCATTTAGATAAGGCACAGAGCAGTTATGTTTGTACCTTTGACAGAGGCAGTTTGTAAAGTTTAATAATGTGTGATATTATCAGGAGACAAACAAACGAGCTACTTTTTAACAAACAGCAGCAATGCAACAGAATAGTTCATGATTATATTCCTCAGAACAAAGATAACAATTTTTAACAACATCTATGCCTATGGCTCGTTTACCTTCCTTGGCATGGGACAGTGCTGTACGCTCAGAACTTATATTATATCCCATATCTTGTATTTTGCAGACAGAAGCTGCTTCTTGTAAAGATTCACCAACAGAGCGGAGGTGTTAAAAAGTAACTGAAATCAAATTCTGACACATGGTTTGCAATAATTTCAACTATTGGCAAACAATAAAGAAACCTGACGTTTAAACAAATATTCAGTGCAAATGAACTGGAACATATTAGAACAAAATACTATTTGTCCAAATTAGCTATCCTGTTTTGCTTCATTGCAACTAAAAACTGTTTTCAAAAGACGTTTAGGAATAAAACTTCAAAAAATATTTCAGGGTGATTCTCCCTTATACTTCACCTGCTTTTTGTCTAAGTACCCAGCATTGTCAGTGTAAAACTATGTTACAAACATTTCTCTGCACATGAAAAAAAGTTATCTGAAGGTTTTGCTCTGGATTGATGTTTGAAACTTGACTGCTTCTATAAAAGTGCTTTGGTTTTCAGTGATCATTACGAATGTGTTGTTTGCACCATTGAAGTAACAGTTTTCTGGTACAAAGAAGTTTAAATAAACTTAAGTTCTTACAAAATACACACATTTTAGACTTCAATAAATGGTAAACAAGACCCTTTTATCAATCTATCAGTGCAGGAATTTGATCTTCCTGTATAAGAACTATTGAAGTCTACAGTAAAAAACTGATATGAAGTCAGGTACACAGATTTTATCTAAAGACTCAGATGCCAGTTAGTCCATCTTCCCATCATGACCATTAGCTGTGACCATCTCCTTTCGGACTCTCTGTTTTTGCCAACTCTTGCTCTTCCGTATTGTGAAGCGAACAATGTCCACCATGAAGGCCCAGGACAGAGCATACATGGCCACTCCTCCACACTTGATGAAGAATCTGGGTCTTGGGGAGATCAGCTCACAGTACAGCATTGTGCCTCCCACAAAGATTCGCATCACAACAAACAGCAGCACGAACAGGACGTCCACAGCGTCCCCGAGCCGAGTCTCGTAGTGTCCCGTCTGCTTGAGGAACCAGCGTGTTTGCAAGAGGGGGTTGGTGATTTCGCTGCCGAAGAGAACAGCGCAACCCTCGATGCCAGACTCGCCCAACCACAGGGTCAGCAGGATTCCCAGGATGCTCATGGTGTGGTGGGCCAGCATGACGGCTCCCTCAGTGCGGAAGAACACACACCAGGCCATGTCAAAGATGAAGTAGCCCAAACTGATCATCAAGGCACTTATCTGTAGAGGGGTGTTCTTGGTGCCTGACATCAAGAAACAGATCATTACAAATAATTATCACTTGTAAAAGGAACTAATTAAATCTGAGGGAGAAAAAAAGCTATATTTAGCTTTAACATTTTGCAAAGAGAACACCATATTGGTTTCCTACCTGGGTAAGTGAACGGCCACGGTCCATCTACGTATCCTATGTACGCTGTGATGCAAACCGCAACGATGCCATGCACCAGAGTGACGAGGCGACAGTTCCATTCGTAGCTCCTGGACCCGTTGATGGTGCACAAAATGAAGTAAAAAGATGCCCAGCAGCACAGACAGAGAAGTGCAAAAACTACAAGCAGTTCCATCGTTTCGACTGAAGACAAAACCCAAAAGAAAATGCTGGGAAAAAAAAAATACAGAGACTAAATAAGCATTTATCCTCCTTTAAATGACTTAGCAATGGCAGCAAACAATGCAAGAAGGCAGATGTCACCCTCTGTAATATCACTTACAGTAGCGAGGGGCAGAAATGCCATCCAAAGGCTTGAACTGTGCAGCCTTTGTAAATCACCAACAAGTAGCCTTTGCTTGAACTATAATAGTACTATAGTCAGGAGGCTGAGGGTCTGATGGGGTGAGGGGGACGTCTCTGCTCCTGCTGTGACGTTTGTGCTAGGTGGTGAGACCATTGGAGATGGACAGAACCACCCTCTAAGGAGGAGAACAAGATGTTCACTAAACTGGGGGCCTTAGAAGCTGCTTTCCAAACGGGCAGAGAGGTTACCAGGCAAAGAGCCTCAGACAGGATCCCATGAGGAAAATAAAATCTCTTGGCTGCTGTCTAATGACATTTGAACTTTAAAAAACAGTATAAATCATCCAAAACAAAACTGTTTCTATCTTGTTTGGTCTGGATCTAATAGTCACACACCAGACAATTTTTTTTTGATTATTTTATATTGCTAGTGTTTAGTTTGCTTTCTCATTAAAAACTGATTTATTAATAAAAACAGAACAAATGTTGCTGGAACCACAAAATATAATTATAAAATACATTTTTTTCATTACAACCAATAAAATCTATTAATGTCTAATCAACATGTAGCAGGGAATAACTGTGCAATGACACTGATTAGATTTTAAGATCATTGAGACAAAAAAAAAAAGCATAAAAGTTTTTAAGAAGTCTACAACAGGGTTGGGTTATTAAACAATATCTTAAGTTTCATTATATCCTATAGATTATGACGCAACGGGAAACATACTGAGACAGACTGAGACTCCATGGTGACTGTGAGGAGTAAAATGCATCTAAACTCTTAGACATTGGTTAATAGCACACATCTTTTTTTTTTTTCCAGCTGATTTTTTATTGTCATTACACTGTCACAAGTACAGAGCAACAAAATTCACTCTCTGCTGCCCTTAGAGAGCAGTGGGCTGCCATTGTGTGGTTCCCAGGGAGCAGTGTGGGGTTTAGAGTCCTTGCTCAGGGACCCAGAGTGTCAGTTTGTGAGAGTGGGACTTGAACTAAGATCCTCTGGATTCCAAGTGCAATGCACCAACCACTAGGCCACCACTCCCTCTACTGTTGCTACCTTTTTTCCCCCTCTGAGCAATCTCTGTGATCAAATGCTGATATCAGGTCTATGTTGGTGTCAGTCAGTACTTTAAGCTGCATTAACAGCATAATATTAATATCCAAAAAGACAGGATCCTCCTGGTGAAGTTGGTGGTGGCAGCATCTTATTGTTGGGATGCTTTTCCAAAGCAAAAGTTAGAGTTAATAGTTGGAAGAAAGTGTGTTGCAAAGGACCTGCGATTGGAGAGGTTTACCTTCCAGCAGGACAATAACCTTAAACCAAAAGCCATATTGACTGTGGAATGGTTTATTTTAAAGCATACGGCACTGCAGAATGGTCCAAAACAAAAAAATCCACTAGAGGATTAGATTTTTTCAGTCTCTAAAAGTAAAAAGATCGTTTAGACAAGCTGTTTTAGAAAGTTTTGTTGTTCAAAATGTATATTTTTCCTTCTGTTTCACAAGATGCACCATTTCCTGTTTGTGTTTCGCACAAAATCCCAATCAGTATGTGGTTGTAACATATGAGAAAGTTAAATACTTCTGCAAGGCGTTGTTAATAATAGGCAAAAAAACTGCTATAGATCTACCCAAGATATAGAATACATTTAATTTATGCTGCACTTTTCATCAAGAAGACCTCAAAGTACTACAAAAAAGAAAAGCATAAAAAAAATACATAAAAAATACAAATATATTTGGATAATCTCATTTGGTCTGTATAGCAATTCTCCCATTTACAGGCACAACCCACAGAGATGTATTATTGTTAAATAAACAGGTTAAATAGAATCTAACTACCTGCAACTACAAAACATTTGTTGATGTTTCAATTTTTTTTTGTAGACACAAATGAATGCTACGTGTTGTAAAATTATATGTCAATTACAGGTCATGGAGGACTAATAATTATGTTTAAAGAAATTAGATCCTGCCTAAGTAAAAAAAAACTAAACAAGAAGCTTCCTACATTTAATCATATGTATATGTAATGACATAATAGCCATGAGATGGAGCCAACGAACGAAGAGAAATGGAACAAATATTGTTTTTCTAGTTATATCAGCTGCTCAAAGCATCTGTTATTAGAGCCACACTAACTGAGTCGCACACATTCATACAAACATACGCACATCTGGTGGATCTGTGCCCAGAGGCACATTGAAATGTGGAAGGAGAAAGCAGCAGTCAAACCCACAACTTGCAAGAGACAATCACCCCTAAGGGCACAATGTTTCTATGCAATGATTTATATTGTTTTATTAGGTTGGACTCAAACAATTATCTCATCTCTACATTCCGGGGTTTTTCAATGGAGATAAAACCAAATAGATCTTACGGGTGGTCTAACTTGAGCAATAATGTCTTTTGCAGTTTCCATAACTTCCTAACTGCATTCGCTTTTTTCCCCCACGAAATGTCAATGTGAAAAATGTCAAAATTTAAATTTTTTCACATATGATGAAAATGTTTTAATGGTTATCGCATTTGCTGTCAGACTTTAAGACACAAAAAAGGATTAAATTTATGAAGCAGATATTTTCAAAGTGGTTAGGCTTTTAGATTTGTAATCAGCAAAGAACAAGATGAACTGAAACTGGATGGACGGATAAAAGAAACAGTAATGGTTTTCTCAAACCTGGGACGTACTTAATTAAAACTTCACACTTTTCCACACGGAGAAAGAACCATTTTGTCTCGGTACATCACATCCCTCTCTGAATATTCTGTTAGTCCTTACCCTAGAGAGGACAATTGATGTTATAAATATGTAATTTAGTTCACCAAGCTTTTTTTTGTTTGTTTGTCTTATCCACTAGAACAAGATAAAGATATAAGTTAAGATTAACTTTATTTTCCCAAAGGAAATTTGATTTGGGTACAGACTGCTACATAGTCCAAACTATGTGTCACACTGCATTCACACATAAAAACGCAGTTATAAAAAAATATATATAAAAAAAATCCATTATAAGTAAATAAATAAATACATATATACATAAGGAAGCATGTTACATTATTACATTCCCAATAAAAAAAATTTGAAAAAAAAAGTATAAAAACCCTTCTTTAAAAAAAATCTGTTATGTGAGATAATAAATGCATTCCACAATTTCTTCAAATCAAAGAATCTTTATCTCCTTTAATGTTTTCAGCCTATTCATCAGTTGTCCCAGACAGACATGTACTTAAGTCTGTATTTAATATTAAATATAAAGATATAAATAAAATATAAAAAAAACATCAGTTTCCAAAAATGCGACCCCATCTTGACCTGTAGAAATCTAACAGCTATATTTAAAGCTGGATAAAAACACTTGAGGTGTTGAGAACATGCCGTTTCCATGACAACCTAATGGAAGACCGGATTTAGTGACAAACTGAAGTAAAATTAAAGGCTTCTTTTTTTCACCTTAGCGGTAAAAATTGTGCAGCAGTCGCTGACGTCCGCTGGTAGAGAGGAGAATTAACTGGAACTAGTCATTAGGATGCTTTTTCAACCTGATCCCCGGGTGGTTTGGATAGCAAGCTAACCAGCTGTAGCAGGCTAACGTTACACAGAATATGAAGCGCTTTCTTCTGCTTTAGCAAACATACAAAATGTGATTACCTTTTTGTTAAGCATCAGGCGGTCTCTGTGGTCCCATTCAGCTCGCTGCTGATGTTTTCTACGGCAGACTGGTATAAAACATTAGCTGCTATTTGCTGTCCTTTATGCTGCTCTGTTGGCAACAGCCCTCATCAGCATCCTCTGGTTCTTATTGAGTACTAAAAATATACTGCGTGGGATTTGACATAAAATTAGGTTGGGTGCTCCGAATACAAATTATCGAACCACAGCATGTTAAAAGATGATTGCAGGATTTTTGAATATATCACAAAAACGTTTTTTTTTAATCCCCGGACTGGCAAGAACTTAAATCAATTTCTCAGAACTACGCTGACACCTTGTGGTCAACAGGTTGAATTGCAACCTAAGTGGAGAAATCAATTCAAAAATCTCCTCATTCCCCTTAGAGGGCCTCCGAATGATCATGCCTGCCCACTGACAACCTCACTGTCACCATCTACAAGCAGGGTAAAAGTAAATAACCCCTCAGGTTTGTTACCAAGAAAAAGCAATCAAACAGTTCGACAATTAGTCAATAGTTAATCATTTCACTCACAAAAATTACTAAAGTTAGAAGAAATTAACAAGTCATGCAAAGAAAGTAAGGACCAGATGGGCAGTGAAAAGATAAGGGTTAGTAATGATTAGAGATGCAAATGTATCAGTTTGTGCCTAGGCAGTTTTTAAAATGGCATTGTATACAGATAAAAACAAAAAGATAAAAACAGGAGGCTGAAAAACCCAGGGTCAGGTCACAGAATTGTTTTTAATTCTCCAGCCTGTTTATAAAAGCTGACCCAGCTATCTGCTGCTCCGGTTTTGTCAGGGCCTCTGAGCAATATGTTTGATAGGATTACTCTTCTGTTATGTCCCCAGAGCTCCTTCTAAATCCTGTAAAAAATGCAAATCATATTGTGACATCAAAAACTATTCTAGATCATTTCGAAATGCACCATACACACCCTACCTTACATGCATTCCACATATAGGACAGACAGGCCACATAAAGTTTGTTTAATCCATTAGTATCAATTTTGATCGATCTTCATGGTGGAATTTTCCCCAATTTCAACAAAAATCATAATTTCTTCATTAGTCCGGTCTTAAGACCTCTGCAACAGTGCTTTTCAGCCTAATTTTAGGATATCGTTAAACTACATGTGCACATTTATAGAAACCCAAGATGTATTTGCTCATGTTAGACATCAAAATAAGTTTTCACACCCAATGGTTTCTATAGCCCCTCTGAGCAATTTCTCTGTCCTCAGATGTATAAAAAGCTTCAGCTCACTTCAGAAAATCACAACACAGCCAAAGTGTTTTAACATTAAAAACACTGGAGACATTTTGTAAGGAATCTCCTAACCTTTTTGTTGTTGCTGCTGCAGGCTGTGGAGTTTTTTCCGTCGGAGGCTCTGTTGTTTTGCTTCCAGGTCACGGGTGGAAATGCCAATTGTTAAATATGGATGTAAGGTCCCCCTATAGACAGATGCGCCTCGGAACTTCCCTATCGGTTCTTTACCTGGGAGCAAGTTATTTACTACTCTTAACTCAAACTGGGTAAAACCATATAAAAAGGACTATAAAAACAGGAGTAAAAAAGTTTATTCCAGGTCAGGTTGTTACAGGACAGAGAGATTGCTTGGAGGTAGCACAGCTGTGGGCTCAAAAAACGTCAGCGAGCATCCGGCAAAGGCTGAGCCCCAAACAAGGTCATCTCCTCCTTCTTATACCTCATGGGTCCATGTTTTGCATCAGGTGGAAGCTTAGCTGTCCATATCAGAAAATGACACGTCATCCATGACCTGACCCTTCATGCATCTTGCCTCTTTACCCCAGGATTACACATAGCTCTCCTTTATCAGTCCAGCCCCAAGATGTGCCCATATGCTGTGTATTTTTAAAGACGCAAAGGCTGCCCTGATTAGATGGCCTCCGTACACACAGTGACATCCACCATGTGAAGGAAGGCCTTCTACTCTGTCTAATCTGGCTAACAAAGTAACAATACACATGATGTATGAAGAATAAACCTAATAGTGGCTTTAACAAACAAAAGAAACACTTGTGAATTTTGTCGATTAATAATAATAAAGGGGAAAAAAAATCTTGTTCCTTTAAATGGAAATTTTACAAATAAAAGCAACCCTATCGTTATATATACATTTTCATAAAAATAAAACTTTTTCTTTATGTTTTTTCCTCAAAATTAATTCAATTTCTTTTTGTTAAACTGAATTGTATAATTTATACACAATAACTGTTTTATTGTGTTTAGAAGATCACATTCATTTTACTTCTGAGGCCAAACTTTCCTCTCAAAGAAAGCTCACTCCCAGAATTGAGAGGCAGTGATGTATTTCTATTGGTCTGCATGCACATAGCAACATTTTACCAGGCTTGGAGGAAATTGTTTAAGTTTAAAAATACAAAAATAGGGGAGACATTTTGTCTGGGTTAGATTGGGGTTGAGAAGACCCAGATGCAGAGGGGCTAAGGTGATTTCTTGCAGTTTAATAGTAAACACAAACAATTGAGGCAAAAGTAAAAAAAAAATCCAACTAAAAATGTAACACAGACCAGAACCATGGAGACATCAGGGGGAAACAATCACAAGGAGCCATGGGAATATGAGGTATGACGACAGCAACGACGAGTGACAGCATAGGGACAGTATATATGGCTAACTGAACAAAGGCAGGGCTAACGAGCTGATAAGGAGCAGGTGTGAGTGGAGAGCAGTCTAGGAAGGAGCTAGGGAAAAGGAGACCAACACAAGAGGGCAACAAATAAAAACCAAATAACTCATATATATCCAGAAAATACAACAAAATATGAATTAAACCAATAAAACTAGAAAACATGGAGCAAAGTAAAGCATAACAGAACCAAGACCATGACACGTTTAAGCCTTATTTTTCAGAGAAGATTAATGTAAAAAAAATAAATAATTTTAGCTTCTCTAATTATCATTTAAGAATCCATTGTGGTACCTCTTTTCACTCCAGGTTTACAACATATTTGTGAAATCTATTTTGAATATTTCATTTGGGACAAGATTGCACCTAGAACTAACATGAATAAAAGATGGTTTCTTGGAGAAATAGAGGGAGTATGGCTTTCCCTGTACAATCATTTGTTTAAAATGTCTGTATAAGTCAAATAAAAAAACAAAGAAGTACTCTCAATAATTGAGGTAGAACTAGGGAGTATTTTAGACATTCATCCCATTGTTCAACTGATAACAATTTATATTTAAAAAGCCAGTATTAGTACATGCAAAAGCAATATTAACATATAAACAGGATGTACTGTGCAGCAAATGTATTCTTCATGGAGATTCAACCTCTCTGTAACCATTGCTGACTGTTGGAGAAAAAGTATTTCACTAGCCTTGTGCTTAAGTATAGAAAAAAACAAGTATTTTTTGGAAAAATATAAGGTTGGATATCATATTGTTCATAATAATTTCAAGCATAAATAGTAAATAATTTTATATATACATCCAATATCAAAAGCAAAACTTCCTGGTTTCACAAATTATTTAACAGTATAGCAAACCATAAATGTAAAAGTCAGAGAATAACCCGATCGAGGGACCTTGGCTGAACTATAAATAAGGATATTTAGTTCAAATACTGTCAAATAACTGGAAAAGTCATAGCGAGTCTGGGGGAAAATTTGATGTATAATAGGATAATGCAGAGATTTTATTTTACTCCATCAATGCTTTACAGAACTACTTCCCAATAATTCATGCTGAAAATGTCAAGAAAAGCCAGGAACTTTCATGCAGGCCATCTGGAAATGTAAGTAAATCTTCCATCATAGAATTAATAATAAAACCATAGGGAAGTGAGTAGGTAATTAGACTCAAATAAGCAAAGCACAGTGATGCAGGAGGTGTTCAGGGGTGCCAGAATAATCCTAAGATTATAGTCTCATTCTACTCTAGATAATAAAAAAAGGCTTTGGGTTTTTTTCTGAAAGGATATTCATATGAACACATTCTGGCAAAGCTATTCCATGATGCAAAAAAGGTGTCTATATTCTTCCCAACAATTCTGTTTCTGCCATTCAAAAGCATCCAAACAGCATAATGTTGCTACCACCAAGTATTTTGTCTAATATTATCAAAGTAGTTTCTTCTGCAAATTTGGATGTCGTTTTTTTTTTTTTTTGGGCTGTGTCATAAATGTTAGACATGTGGAGCACATGGCTGCTAGTTCTATTATCTCCCTGACTTTTTTAATCAACATTTGATTCATAATCATCATGTTTGCTCACAGATGTTTGCTTGAAAAACGTTCAGAGAACAGCTGTAAAAAACGTTAAACACTCCGTTTACTGCATTAGGTTTCTTCTGAACCCAGATGGTTATAATGGTTTTTATTTAGGGGCATCATGGTAAAGCATACAGGGTACAGATTCATGCCACACTAATCAGATCATTTGATTTTTCTTTCTTTTCACTATCACATAAAATCTCAATGAAAAAAAATTCTGTGAGATTTGCTGCAGAAATATCACAAAATATTAAGATTTTAGAAGCCACATCTGTCGATTTGAAGTCTGCAAACCGAACTTTTAGTTTTTCACAAATAAATCAATTAACATCTATTAATTTAACTAAAAGCTAACATAGATGAACTAAATCCAATTTGCTACCTTTGCTATTCATTACTGCACTCTCTTTCACTTATATGCTAAAAATGACCAAAAATGCACACATTTTTTAATGCAGTGCAAAATGATTTTATTGAAACAACATAAGTACAACATCTCTATGTGATACAATACCTAAATTGCTTCATCTTCCTCTCAACAACAACTATTTACAACAATTCAAAATCCTCTTCCATAGAAAAATATGTTCAACCATTCAATCTACAATTACATTGCAAAAATTACAGTGGAAATGTTAAGGCACTTGATAATCACAAAAGGCCACAGTGAAAATTTTTTCACTTATTTGGTTCTTTAGTTAGCAGGAGATGCCAACAACAACAAAATGATACAAACCAAACGTTTGTATGGTAGTTAAAGACCACGATAGAGGTAAGACAATATAAAACCTTAGTTCAACATACTGCTGTGGACATCACAGATGGACATAGCTTAAGTTGGTCCCATGAGTTCAAGCATTCTTGAATTATGCATGTAATGACCAAAGATTTAAATGTATAAATAAAATATTTAAGTGGTGGCATTAAAAACACAAAACAAAATAAACAACAATTACAAACAAAGAACTAAAAACGATTGATTGTGGAACCTATACCTGAATCTACCAGAAGATGGCAGTA